ACGAAAAGAAATAGCTCCACACACATTAACGCGCATTAGCAAAATCCTAAGATGAATATAGCTACAATGACTACTAGAGTATTGTGTTCACAAGGCCAAAATCATGTTTTGTGAGGTCACCATGACCTTGGCCTTTTGACCTTTGACCTTTGGCCACCAAATTCTAATCAGTTTGTCCCTAAGTCCAAGTGAAGGTTTGTACCAAATTTGTAGAAATTCTCTCAAGGTTTTACAGACATTGTGTTCACAAGGCAAAAACCGTGTTTTGTGAGGTCATCACGCACTTGACCTTTGAACTTTGCCCTTTGGGAAAGGAACTGTTAATGAGTCTAGTGGTCTAAGCTTTGAATGAGCTGTAGCGCCTACCAGAGGGCAACAGGTCAAAGAGGTGGTGGACAGGGTGTGAACAGTCTAAGCAGCGAACTGGAGAGCAAAGAGTCGCTGCTCTCGCAGCGCCGCCATCTTTTGGGGTATATTCGCTCAGGTGTCAGTGCATTCAGTGGCTCAGTCTCTGTTGTCAAAATTCAACAAGGACTCCATTTCTTTCATCTTTTCCTGTAGTTTCTCTCCATTTTGCTCTTGTCTGAATTAGATTGATTAAGTCAAACTTTAGCTAAAGTTGAAAACATAATCGTCTCTCAGACGCTTGTTTACCTCAGTTTTCACCGCTCGAGTCCTTCACTTCACATGAAGTCGTGCAGCCTCTGAAACCAACTTCAACTGCACAGCAAAACTTTGTTCAAACCCACACAACTTCATTTCAGATTCCAGCTGAGATCCCAGTTTTCAGAGATGCCAAATATGTCAGGCTGAATTTTGGGAAAATGTGTATAAAATGATGCATTTTTTTACTCAGTGTAAACATCATATAGCTTCAGTGAAAAGTTGGAACAAGATGATACAGAATATTCTAGCATCTTAAAAGATTATTTTAACAACCGCAAAGTTACAGTAATTAAGCAGGGAAAAGGGTTGAAACTAATGATGCCCCCTGGACGATGACAGCGTGTGTGTCCTGTGTGTTCTGCAAAGTCCTTGGACTGCAATGTAAAACTTTCATTGTGCTCATAGTGAGTACAGTGAGTAAAAACTTAACAAATGGATTAGCATCTCATTTTTATTCACCGTGTGCATCTCCCAAGGATCTTTCAGGAGAAGCTGCTGAAAATATGAATCAAGTTTGTTTTTTGGAGTTTGGGGTTGTTTCTTATAATATTATGTAATCCTCTCTGTGAAGGCGTCTCTATGAACAGAATAAGATATGAGTTAACTTTACATTTTTTAATATGGAGCATCAGGGCCTTTCCACAGTCCTTGAAGACCTGTGAAAGTTTGTTTCCAGATTTTGGATTAAGGATTTGTTTTGATGACGATGTAGCAGCCAAATTATCAACATGAATCATCATCTCTCTGCTGTCCAGACATCAGCACTTCACATGCTGAGGAAAAACCCCTGATGGAGATCAATGTTGATGCAGCAGCATTTCAAAATTCTATCTTTGGTTAGATATTGGATGTTGAGTGTATGTCAACATACCCTGTGTTGTATCAATGTGTGTATATATACAGTATATATATGTGCATGTGTGTATACACAGACACACGCGTACACACACACACATACAAACATATATATATGCTTTATACACTATACCTTGATATGTTTTATCCCTCCTCCAGTTATATCTAATTTTGTGTTGCATTTGCACCAAGTTGCATCAAGTTTCCTCAAACAAGCTTTCCAATTCACACACCCTGTCTTACTGCAAAACTTGTGATCTTGGTGAATGAATGCCACCTGTTAGATCATCTGCGGTGTCACAGTTGTGCATCTCGGATCAACTGCCTTCACTTCAGCATTCCGTCACCCGGCTCCCAGTCAGTCATTTCCCATTCACCCCGTTCTCCTGCACCTCACTGCATTAGCCACGCCCACCTCATCAAGCCAGCACCATTCACCTGGTCACACAGCTGCTCCTGATTACACTCATCCAAGTATACGAACCCCAGCCTTCCAGTCATTCTTTGCCAGATTGTTCTTCACTTTTCTTCATGCAAGACTCGCCAGCATTTCTCAAACTGATTCCCCGTTGCTGAACCTGTTTGTCCCTGACTTGTCGTCTTCGTAGGGACCCTGGTAATCACTTCAGGCTTCTCTCCCCAACCTCGAGAACTACTTTTGTGACTTTGGACTTAGTCTGCATAATCCTGTGCTACAAACTGTTTTTGGTGAACTGTGCTGCATTCGGGTCCTACACACACCTGTCACATGTGGTTGCACTCACACAGTTGTTACCAAAAATTAAAAGGGGACTTTCATGTCATTGAGCTTCAAGTCAGAGTGTCTGAAATCAGCAGATGGAAACATGACACATTGAGCAGGGTCAGTAGTTGAAAAATACAACACTGACATTACCAAAGAGGCTTTTTCTACATTATTAAATTTGCAACTAACAACCTAATTCTCATGGTAATTAATTGAATGGTATTGTGACAAGAAGTATTACATTAACTTTAACTTGTTTTGTAACTACTGTACCAGTAGTCTGGTGGGAAAATCTGCGGTTTGCACTCTTGATCTTTTAATCACTTTTCTGCTCGTCTCTGGGCATAGAATAGCTTCTATGTAAAATGCTTGAATTGCTTTCAATTTTAAGACAGCGACTCTTTAAAGCTCCATATTTTTACTTTTCCTGTGTTTTATTTGAAGTATTTGAGTATTTTTAGTATTTGAATATGAAGATTGATTTGCTGACTGTTTTCTGAGTGATCCAATAAAAATATAGTAGATTTCAGGTGAACACTCAGAGAAACCAAATCCTGCAAGGTTGGATGGTAGATCAATGTGGGCGGGGCCTGAGGCTTGAGAATGATGACTGTTTTGTTGTGACATCACAAAGTTACAGGAAGCTCAAGTCCTCTTCGGTCAGAGACCTGAATATATTTAAATTTAGGTCATGTTATATCATAATACAAATATTGCACAGTCAACTGGAGACCAGACAGGAGAATTTTTAGGGCCAAATATGATTTAAATGTTGTTTCAGAGATGTGTTGCTAATGAACCATTAACAAGATGAAGTAATATTTTATAAGAAAGTGGTCAAGTTTAAGTTTTTACAGCACATCAGCATAAAAATTTGCCATCAGTTCCTTAGTTAAAAAATATATCAGCATCAGTTTAGGTGTGTGTGTGTACATTGTATGTGACCTCTCCTGGTTTATGCCTCTTTGTCTCTAGCTATCCATCTCCATCTTCGTCTTTAAATAAGCCTCCCTGTTTGCCTCCATCTTTTATTCATACAACAGACCTTGCAGTCCTCCAGCTGGCCTGCTGCCATAAACCCCCAGCAGCAGAGATGCACTTATAAAAAGACAGAGTTGAACAGGAAAAGTTGGAGAGCAAAAAGAAGGAGGGGAAAGGGCTGATGGACAAAGAGGGCAGGATACCTGAGGACTATGAGTGACAGAAACCTGAGACACTAGCTGACAAAGCATGAAATGATTAGAACAAAACTTCCTGACAGGCAGACCTGGTAACTCAGGAGGTTCCGGGCTGCCTTCCTTACATTTTGACAGAATCTCATTTCTTTTTTAGGACCTACTGTAATTTCAAAATAAAGCTCCTGCATTGAGACTGTATTGTTGGTTTGTTGTCTTCTGTTGTGGTCAGTGATGTTAGTGTTAGTTTGTTTTCGTGTTTTATTTGTGGGGAAAAGCTCATATTTGAATGTGTCGTAAGAATTTTCTTGAATTTTAATGCATGTAAGTCAACTTTGGGTCAGTGGTTAAAATTAGAGTTATGTTAAGGGTTAGGCAAAGTCTCCAGGAAATGAGTGCAAGTCTATGTAACTGTCATTCCCTCAGAGTGTTTGAGTTGGGTCAAGGCAATGTTTCCTTACCTTTTCCACTTCAAAATCTCAAAAATGTCAGTGGCCCAACATCTGACCCCGTAACATTACGGAGGCCAAATAATGCCGTCAGAGCACCTTTTTATTTTAATGGTAACGATCAATCTGTCTCTTTACTCTCTTTCCTTTTTAACTCTTGCTAACCACGGCCCGTATTCACAAAGCATTTTATCTTACCACTAAGATTACTCCTAAGACGCTAAAAGTTTTTAACTAAAAGTTTTCTCCTACGTCCTCTTCACAAAGCAGCTGAAACCAACTTTTAATAAGGAAAAGTGAAAACTCCTCAGCTAAGAGTGTTCTGCCGTTGCTATGGCTGATGACAATTTTTGCTTGCAGGAACTACAGCGAATGGTTGATGAAAGACGGTATGTGCCGGTGAAAACACATGATCAACATCCTGCAGTAATAATTAAAAATAAACACTGAGAAATAAACGAATACAAATGAAATAAAAACAGATTAGGAGCTGTTTACTACAGTTGTGTATTCTCCAAAATGATGATAAGGTTTGTATCGACCCAGGAGAATTTTACTATAAAACCTTACATTCAATTCTCTCAATGGAAAAATAAAAAAACAAACCTGTCCAAGACGACCTAACTAACAAATATATCAATAACTATATACAAAATAAGATTTCTACATACAAATGATGTAATAAACTTGCAATGCCAGATCCTGGAATTTGTCTCAGGGGCAGGGTTCTTTATAGCCCGTTCTGTGTGAGCCAGGCAGTGAAACATTGAAACAGCTGTTTATGGCGGCCATATATGTTTGTGTTTGCCACCAAACATCCCTGGCATCTAGGCAACCACCGTGGCTTGCTGTGGTCCTGGCTGCTTTACTGGTTTGAATGTTAGAGGAGTGGGCTCCACATCCTCATCTTCTCCAATCTGCCACTGCTGTTCTGAGAAAGGGGGGTGAGGAGAGCCAGCTCTTCCCTGTGGTCTTCCTCTCCCTCTTTTGTCTGTGGCTCTACCCCAAGCACCTCTGGCAGCATGAGCCTGTCCAGCAGTGGGTGGGGTGGTCGCAGCATCCCCAGCAGGTGTAGCAGTGGTGGCAGCGCTGGTTGCAGAAGCACTGGTTGCAGAAGCACTGGTTGCAGCAGAGGAGGAGCGACGTCTATTTCCTGGAGATGGCTCTGCATCAGGCTCCCAGTCTGAGCTGCTGTCCTTCTCTGGCCTACAAAACAAAATGTAATGCAGTTAGCAAAATATCCAGTTCAGTATTACCAAATTATGTGTGACATACAAACAACGGCTGAAAAAATGCATATACACAGGAGTTGTAGTGTAAGAATATCCCCAATAAATAACTCTGAAATGCCGATGGTTCAAGCAAAGACTTGGCTCACCACAGACAAGGGTCTGGACTACATCATTGCCTCGTCTGACGACAGTGAGGAAAACGACTCGGAGAGCTAGTTGCTGTTTACACAAAGCCTTGACATCATTTTAGACTGGTGAGTAAAACAACCCCTCTCGACCCTTCACAGTTCCCTGTGAAAGATTGTAGATCACAGTTCACTGTAATATAGTTCACTGTGAATGACTGAATATAACAGTTCACTGTGACCTGGACTATAGTGTACTGTAATTTCAGAACTGTAAATAGTAGCACATAATAAATGTACAGACAGCAAAAGTCAACTAAACACCACTGGATAAAAATCAAGTCAGGAAAAAAGAAGTCGTTTGACTCAAATGTTCTAAAATGGCGTCGAGAGCTCCTGCAAACAGTAACTCACTCTCCAGGTCATATTCGCTGTCCTCACTGTTCTCAGACGAGGTAACGATGTAGTCCAGAGCCTCTTCAGTGGTGAATGAGGTCTTTGCTTCAGCCTTCGACATTTCAACTCTATTCTGACACACAAAAATACTCCAATACAAACTTTCTTTCTCTTTCTTCTTGCTGTTGTCTCTTCTCTGCTCTCTGCTCTCTCCTCTCTCTCTCTCTCTCTGTACTTTGCGTAGCATGCATGAAACACTGACGTTGACGTCGATCTGCTTGGCAATAACATTGGCTAAAACAATGGCCAATCCCCCTTGCATGGTATCATTGGAAACGGGAAACACATGGCTACAAGCCTGAATGATTGAAAGATTGTCAGTGGCTAATCCAAGAAGTTGCGCTCGTTTGTATACACCCGACCCTCCCAGGATGAAAACTCAACAGAAAAATGTATGAAAAAAAATAAGCATACACAAAGCTGCTCAGATGTCTGAAATAGACTTCATATAGCACTATTCATAATTTGGAAAAAATTTTATGTAAAAACACTTTTGATGTTTTTAAAGAGCATTTCATTTTAAAACATATTAAAACTTTATTTAAATTGTAATGTTGACAGAAGAGGCAGAAGCAGGAGTTCACTTCTTGAACCACTTGGTTGATTCCTGCAACACAAAGGTACCGAATACTAAACTCAGCCAACTTGCACAGAAGCCTACTTCTCACTACACTTAAAAACCAAACTAGCGCATACAATGGACCAGCCCTCACCCCCTGAGCTCCACCAATCACCAGCACGCACTCTTGACTTTGCCATGCCATTCTGATAATTGGTAGCAAGACAGGACACAATAGTCTGGCTCCACTAAACAGAACTCTAACTGTACAGGGTTGCTACAATATTTTAATTTTTGCTTTATAATTACATCTTTTCACCCAAATTGTACGGTTGTGCAAATGATTTGTCGGCCCACTCGCAATACCTTCGCAGCAGGTTGGGAATCACTGGGTGAAGGCTCAGGTGTGGAGCTGTTCTCATTAGTAACAACAAGAAGTTCTAAGTTCTACAATAAAACCGTGAAAACAAGTCATTTTTCATTCACAGTTGGTCCGTGAGACGCAAAAGTTTTTGCAAACAATAAGACAAATATACAGTAGGCTAAGAAACAAAAGCTGGGATCAGACCTTCAAGGGGGCTCAACCCCCTGGTGAGAATGTGACATGCATACACTGCCTTGGAATTGTGTGAAATCACTCATTTCACAGTTTCATAGTCAATAGTTCCATGTTTGTGTTGACATTTCAGTGAGTGTGTTGATGTTTCTGAGATTGAAGAGAAGAGATTCACCTCAGTTCTCCAAATTCTCATTGCAGATCTGCATTAATATTAAAACCTGCCACTTCTGATCCCACATGACAGAATGGCATCACAATGACTGAAAACTTTAAATGGTTGAACACGTTTTCTCGGTGAACAGGAGAGACGGACAACAATGGGCTGGGAGGTCGGGAGGAAGTGTGTTTCAGGCTGACGTTTGTCTGGATTACAAGTCAGACCTGAATGATTGGATGTGATTGTGTTTAATTAAAAAGCTTTGCCTGCCTATTCAGGTTGGCTGTATTTTGGCTTGTTGTTCTATTGTTCATGCCAAATCTGAAAACCTCCCTCACAATGAAATACGCAGTGAGCTTTCATACATTTTTTAATAAACTTGCAGTCTGCACCTGCAGTGCAGTGCTGAAATGTATCCCCATTCATGGCTTTTTTTTTTTTTTTACATCCTGATTAGTTGATGTGTCTTGTTTTCAAAGTGAGACAATAGAATGAAAATAGATGAGCAGTGGAATATAAAACAACCCTTCTTAATTAACTTTTTGAGAAACCCTTTGCTCACCTGAGCTTCTCCCCTTACACAAGCAACATAGAGGTGTGGTCAGTACGCTTTACCAGGGGTGGACTGAAACAATAATTCAGGTCGGGAATTTGACTCAGGAAGCCAAGGCCACACTCATGCAAACCATCAGACTGCTAATTCTGTAGGCTAACCCTATTTGTTGATGTAACAGCTACCACATCTAACAGTGATTATGGATTGTACAATTTAAGTGCTACAACACTGATGAGTTGAGGCTGTATTCATCTTTTTTTTCTTTTGGCCTTTCATATTTTTTAAATTTAACCAAACCTGCATTTTTTTCTGAAATAACCATTCTAAATATTTGCTGTCCTCAATTGTCTAAACATGGGGGATATATGCCAAAAAAATGCAGAATGTAATCCAAGATGACTTTATCCTCTTGAGAACACCCTCACTGTTAACTGCTCACTCTCAAATTTCTAATTTTGAAAATTTTTGAGGTAGAAATGAAACAAGAATGAGCTGCCACTGTGGGCTGTTTGAGGACGAGCTGCAGGCTGCAGGTTGGGCACCACCAACTTTCTGTTGTCTTGCAGTTGTTGGATATAAATATTGGCTCCATTTGCAGTATGAAATTGGATTATTGCAACTATTGACTTCTTTTTTAAAACAGTTTGTTTGGATGTATTGTAAACACACATCAGTGCCAAATCAATTAGGAGTGAAATATTAAGGATTATACCTTTAACTTTTAGCTCTGTTTTTGGTCTCCACCACCATCTGAGAACAATATCTGGCTCTTCAGCTGCTAAATGCTCCACTGTGTTCACCAGCTGCTCTCTAACCGTGTCTGTCTGCTGTTTACTGCTGAGCAGGTAGTGGACAGAGGTTCAATCACAGCTTTTTGATGAAAACAGCTACTGCTGCTGGAAAAAGAGGTTTATTGGCAGAGCTGAACCAAAGAATAAAATCACTACAAAAACCAAAACCAGAAGCTTAAAGTGACTAAAGAGTCCCATAGAGCTCAAACTTTAAATGTTATTTGGCATCTTAAATACATCTTATATCCTGAACAGTCACTGCTCCTCCAGTGTGTTTATTAACCTGCTTTTATGCATTGCTTTGCACATTGACTCAATGAGCATCTTAACAAATAGAGATAATCCACCATGTCCTCCCACCTCAACAGTCACAGCTACAAATCTGTGCTCATCAATCCCCTCATTATCTCCTCTCTGCAACCCAGTCAAACACAAGCTAATTTAGGAAGCGCAGCCTCTTTTAAGTGGCCAATCAATAGCAGGCAAAAGTAAATCCAGACCAATAAACCCAGTCTGATGTGTCACTGTAGGGCAGTGGAGATAGCACAGGTTGGTTAACTGTAGCACAGCAGTCCACAGGCCAGCTAACATCTGTCATGAGACAAGGGCTCCTAATTCATTTAACACTTCATCCTTAGTGACGAAATTAAAGTCACAGTGATGGACTACAGGACAAAAGGCCTCTGAGGCAGGAAAGAGAAATTCATCCCCTCATGACACACATTATGCCCTCAGACCACAATCTACATGAAAAGGCATGAGACAGATGTTATAAGAAATGAAAAAAGGCACAGATGCAATAGGGGAAAAGAAACACATCAGGTTATTTTTCTCCTCCATCTTTTCCTTCCTATAAGCATCAGCTAGTTACAAGATAAGCCTGTTTTGACTGATCTATTTGCATGTGCATTCAGGTGAGTCGTTCACCTTTATCCAACTGATCCAATGGGAATCTAACCATTAATGTTAGTTTGCTTTTAAAAACTCTCCACAGTTAACCAGCCAACAAACTCTGTTCCAGAACAAGCAGAAACCTATTGTATTTGGTATGAGGTGTTTGACTTGTCTTATAGGACCTGTGTGAGCGAAGTGGCAAAGTCATGGCTGAAAAATGAAGCCAAAATAGAAGTGACAAAAACTACATCTGGCCACTTGAGGCTGGCAAGTCAATCCCCATAGACTCTAATGTTAAAATGCCAACATTTACACCAGAAATAAACATCTTTAAATTTTATTAAGGCTTAAAGTTATGTATAATTGAGGGTGCAGCCGCTTTGAGTGACAGGTGGGTGAGCGTATGTGTAGCGTGGTGCAGAGTGAAGCTGCCCTCCACTACACATTTAATTTGAAAGTCTTTTATTTTGTTCTGCAAAGAGCAAACATATGTATTTTATCATCACCGTTCACCACACACACACAGTAACTTCATACTCAAGTGTGTGTTCTCGTTCTCTGAATGTGTTCGATATTCGAACACAGAAAAATTATGAACAACTACACTAACGTCCAAACAATAAATCATGTCTGTTGTATTGCTATCCCAGACCATTTTCATCATGTACATTCAATATCAACTTGTTTCTCAAATACACAGTCAGCCAATCATGTCTACCAAGCATTGTCAAATTAATCAAATCAACCATGTATCTATTTTAAGTTATTTATTTATTTATTTATGAACTAGACACGAGCAGTCCGGGCTCTTTAGACCGGCTCCTAGTTCTACTCTCCATCCTCCCGCTCGCTCGAGGTAACTAAGCAACCAGTGCTT